AGATCACAAATCTCATTCTGTCACCAAAGAGATGACTATGTGAGTGTATTTGCGGTTGTGATGTGGGACGGTAATGAAAATTACATTTTATTGCTCTGTTCCAAAATCTAGTGAGCTATATCTATGAGGACAGCATTTTGAAAGAATCACAGTTATACTGACTGGAATGCTCTGACAAAATATAGGTAACTTGCCTTGTAAAAAATAATATTTACCAAATATTTACTTTTTTTAAAATAATTTTCCAAATATTTACTTTTATTCTGAAGCAGCACATGTTTTCTTTGAAGGCAATCCCAGAATGCACTATGACAAGCTCAGTGACGAAAAATTAATTCAAGATGGCAGATGATGTTGATTAAGTTAAAAAATAGTTAAAATATCCATCTGAAAATCATTGAAAATTGAAGAACGTTGGTCCATAGGATGTTCTTGGAACATACCGTCTCTAAAAAAGTTTCTTTTTAAGAAAATAAAACATTTAAAGGGATGATGAACTGAGAAATCTAATTTTCCTTGAGCTTTTGACATCTAAGAGGTCATCATATTATAAGAATATCCTGTAAGTTTCAGAACTGAAAACGTACTTGTAAGTCCAATAAAAGCTTTTATTGACACCAGGCTCAGCAAACGACTCGTTTTTCAAAGTGGGGAACTATGACGTCAAAGAGGTTAAAACACCACCCCCGCAGAAGAAGATCAACGCCTACTTCAACACGGTCGGTTTAGCCCCACCCACCGATTCGCGCATTACACGCATAGCTAAATAACATAGATGCCTACCTTGTGATAGTCTCGCGTAGCCAGACCTTCAGACTGACGGCTGAAGGTCTGGAATTCATAGCAGCTTTCTTTGGTCAAGGCCCGCCCATAAGGCCGTTAGACCGACATGTCAAACAACCAATTACAGTTCGTTTCGTTCAGCGTCATGTTTCGGGGCGTGGAAATGTCCCCACAACAACAGACCGGTGTGCAACAAGTCAGTCAGCAGTCACCGGAGGGGCTAACAACGCTCCGTGTTATTAAATTCACCCACGAACTCGCTCATGTCCATCTTATGTCCGCTTTGTCACACGAATGTAAGTTACGTCCCCGCCCCAGTGCGCTCACGCCTACTAAATAAACGCCTCACCTCCGGCGCCGCGCACTCGCTACATTCCCTTTAGCCTTTAGCACATCTAGTGGATGCATAACGCAAACCCAGTCAAACGTTTGACTCTGCAGTATCTTATGTGCCTTATAATCCAGTGTGCGCGACCTATATATGAATACTGAATCGGCCCGCTGCGATGTCAGCGTCTGTTTCATGTTTGTCCACAAAAGCAGCTGATACCCTTCGCAAATAAGTACTTCACTTGATCTTCCATAATAGATTGGAGGGGACATACAACTACGTTTAGCTGATCTTGAGAAATGCTCATTGTCACTCACATAGGCCACTCATATAAACACAACAGTTTTTCTTCCGCAATCACACATCTGCGCTTTGTTTCCCGGCGGACCGAAAATAAACGCGACACTGACGCCCCCCGGAAATCCGATAAAATTCAACCAATCAGATGACGACTTCGACATTCCTGAAGTGTTTCCAGTTAAGTGTACCATATGCATCAGACGTTTAGCCAACGTTCCGTGGGCGTGACGTCTGAGGCTGAGACTAACCTTGTGATGACAAACCGGATCCAGCTACCGAGCAATACAAATTATTGTGCAGTACCTGGTTGTGGAAGAAGACAGTCGCTGCATGCTTCCTCTGGATTCCAATAGAATCCAGGTAGATTGTTTGGTCCCACGCCACCCCTGTGAAACATTATTTCATTACCTCATCCATGAACATGATTTGTGAGTCCCGTAAGAGAGATTTCCATCGGCAGTGGAGGTGAAGAGGACAACTCCCATCATTCACAAGGGGGTAATCCATCGACCAGAACTTGAAGCCTCACGGAAGCTACTATCTTCACTTGCGTTAGCATTTCCATTGACTCCCATTCATTTTGGCGTCACTTTGACAGCGAATAACTTTATATCTGAGGCGTTTGAAGACTCCATTTGTCCATTATTTATTTCTAAAGAAACACGACAATGTTTATAATGCTCCATTACCTTGTAGCTTATGTTATGGCCCCGTAGAAGCAGTTTTTTTTTGTAAAAGTAGGCTAACGATTGTGTCATACCCACGCGACTCTCTGTCTCACAGTAGAGAGATTACCGTATGGACAGGAGGAGAAGCTTGCGGCCAATCGGGGAAACGTGGAGGCAAAACGACAAAATAATTAATCAGAATACCTAGCAAAAGTTTCTTCTGCTCCTAGCTCATGGACAGCTCCTACTCACACTCTCCGCCTCTGCAAGTTTCGTAATTAAGGGAATGATTCAGATTTCTCATGCCACAGCCCCTAGAAGACAGACGGGTTGTTCACGTCACATCTACGTCGTCAAGCTCTGTTTGAGTCGGTTTGAGTCTGTGCGTCAAGAACGGAAGTGCTGAAAAATTGCTAAAAATGGGCTTCACTTATCTCAATTGAGTTCCAATGAGATGGCACTGTCCACAACATCATCAAGCTAAGCTACGCCTTCGTTATTGTTTTGAAAAAGCAACCTCTAGTGCAGGGTTCTCAAACTCAACTGGGGGCCGCTGGAGGTAGAGTCTGGGTCAGGCTGGGCCGCAACAAGTATTCCACAAAAAACAGTATTGAAGTATTCCAAAAAAGGAGCATAACTGATCCAATCTTCTCAATCTTTATTAACGTTTCTTCTGAACTGTTCGTCTGAATTTGAACATTCCTTTCTGTACATGATTGGCTCATGAGCTGTCCCTCTGATAGTTGGAAGTTCATTTTACAAACTTTCTTTGTCTATCCTTATAATACAATAAAAATGATTATTCTTACAATTGTTTTAGAACAGGGGTCGCCAACACGTCGGTCGCAAGCTACAAGTAGCTCGTGGTCTGATTGGTGGTAGATATCGCGCTCACATATTTTGCGCGCTCAAGTTCGTTATTTCAAATGTAGGCGTAATTCTCATAATTGAAGTGACGCGCTCATTTTTTCCCCAGGCGCATGTACGTTTGTACTTAGAAGTTGTCTGACAAACCCACCGTCACGAGACTGTCTATGGTAGACCATAAGGGGGGTTAAAAAAAAAAACGCGGCACACGCAATGACAGACGCACTAACGTTAAACTTTAATGTCAAGTAGGGGGCCACAAAATATCACCCCGACATTTGCGAATGTTTGCTGCAGCAGGCTATTTAGGGACCCCCTAAAGTCCATGGTGGAAAAAATTAGATGGGGAAGGAAAAGAAGTCAATGCTTTTGTGTTCTTGCAAATATTTTGCGTCCCCCCGAGAAACCCGAGTTCGTTACAAGAGAATGCAAAATCTATTAAAAATGTAGCTATGGTGTGCAAAGTTGCTGTCCAGAGCATTCAAATATCACTCACTTGGTAATGAGGTTTCATCACGGGTAGAATGTTGCCTGAAAAAGCAAATAAACTTACTAGATTAAGGATCTTATGTGTTTGTGTTTCAAAATCACCCACTTTTGACCAGTATTATGAACGATATTAATTGTGCATTCTAGTATTTGCACATGTGTATGCGATGCATTAATGGTACACAGTTGTTGTGAAATCTGTTCATGTGATTCAAAAAAAAAAAGAGATAGGCCCTATGCCTGGTATGTCAAAATATAAATAAAACTTTACAGCAATATGTGTTGACAGTTATGCAAATGTTGATATGGATTAGCCTAGTAACATTCAAGTTAGTAAGACCAGCTCCAGTAAGGGTCAATAAACAGAAGAATTTGAAGGACGCACACCATACATGCAAATGAAAAGATTCAATACTAACCTCTAGCCTCTAGCCAACCCCCTTTAATTCACTGGCGAGCTCTCCGCACACACAAACAGACGAATGAAAACAAACACGGGTGCACACAGTTCCACTATCTATGAAGCCCAGATGGACCTTCTCCCCTCAGGCGGCCCCCTGTCAACACACCCATGTGGGGCCCATAAGGGTTGGATATGGGCTGGTGAGTGGGCCCCATTTGGGCTGCCCAGATGGGGCCCAGCTAATTTTGTCCGGGGGTTCCATGGTGGCCCCATGTGGGCAGGCCCATATGGGCTGAAGGTGGGCTTCACATGGGCCCTAGCTAAAACCCACATGGGCAACCCAGGTTTCTCCCATCTGGGGCCCACACTAGCTGGGCCCCATGTGGGCTGATTATGGGTCCCTGCTTACCATTAATAACCACTATTATTATGGGCTATCAAATTCATTTCGGGGCTTATTTTACAGTCAGCCCATACAGTTAGGGTCAACCCTTTTGGGTTACAGTCAGCCCAAATTAGATATTATTGGGTCTGGTGGACTCACCACATTATTAGACTTAAATCAATACAGCCTTAACAATTTATGTAAAACTATTTAACAGATGTTTACTTGAGCTCAATTTTACCAATGGTATACATAATTTATGGTTCGTATTCGTATTTACCCCTCTGAGATAAGAATAATTTAAAAAAAATAAAAACAAGATTTTATCATTATTGTTGCTCATTTCTTACAACTTAATCAGAACAGGTGAAAGTTCTTTTTTTGTGTGGTAATAGCAGGTGCAGAAAGAACATTTGCACACACAGCAGGCCCAGTAATGAGGAGGACACACTTTCATAGCACCAACAAATATTACACTTGGGTTCAGTAGACCTGAACATCTCATTTGTAATAGTTGTGTAGGAGGGTGTCCCATGTGCAGTCATTGAAAATAAGTTATTTTTTATGTTCTTCACAGAAAATAAGCCATGGCCAATAAGTTTGAGTTAGAAGAATTAATAAATCGCGTTACTTTTTCTTTTAGCAAACATTGAAAACGGGTCCCACAGACCCGAACACCTTGGGTTAAACAAACTACAATAACAAAGAGACCAGTAATAAAATTTCATTTTTATTTAAGTAAAATTAACATGCTTTTGCACAGTGTTCCCTCACTCTCAAGCCTGAAGTCTTTGTTGAGGGGTTGCTTGTCGGGCCTGTCTATTACCCCCCGGTCTCTAGCACCGATGAGCCACTTGGAGACCGCCTTCTCTGCATCTTTACGGGTGATTTGGCTGGTCATGGCGTTTTTCTTTAAGCCTCCTTCAAGAAACAAATATAACGCTCAGTTACTTAATATGTGGCAACATAACTAGCCAGGACTGTAAAGACAACTATGTTTAGAAAAGAGCTATATAAACTAAGATTGTTCAAGAGAATGTGTGTATTTCTAATAATACACAAGCTAAGCAACTGAGAGAAATGTGAGAACACAATTCTCAGCCAGGACAACACATGCTCCATTCACAAACTTAAAAAAATTGACATGTTTATAATGTTAGGGTTTTGTGACACTATATTATCAATACAACTTGACACATTATCCACATGCACACCTACCATATATTACTTCATACAGTTTTAAGGCCTTGAACTCTCTCTTCCCATTTCGGCCCACAAAGTTATACTGCCTGGATAGGCCATGGTCTAGGAGGAAGGTCATCATCCTTTTTGTGGCCTCGTCAACAGTCGCCCCCCCTATGTCAGTCACAGCTGCAACCTGAGGGGGAACAAAGGCAATACAAAGAAAATTTATCTACAGTATATTGCTTAATGGAGTAAACCACTCAACATGAAAGAGCTGCCAGAAGCATGGGTGTGAGCTAGGGGTGGAACAGTACATGCATTCATACTGAACCGAAACGGTACGGTGCATGAATAAATAGAGAATACACGTTATAAAAATAAACAAAACTAGGGGGCTGTTTACACCTGGCCACTTGCATTTTCTGTGATCGGATAGCCATCCGATCGTGTAAAGACCAGGTGTAAATGCCCTCCGAAACGCATTCGAGACTCGAGATTTGAATCCGATCACTCTAATCACTTCAGGAGGTGGTCTGGGCCGCATTCCAGATGAAACTGGACAAGTCTAAGTGCATCTGGTTGTTGAAACCACATATGTAAATTTTACTCCTCCCAAAAATGCTAAAAAAAAAACATGTGAGAGCGTGTTATATAGGCTATATGTCACGATATAGTCAGATATGATGACGCTGCGACACGCATCACCTCAGATGTGCAGTTGAGCGTCTATTCATCAGCAATGCGCCATAAACTATCGCAAATCAAAGTGAAAGTAAGTCACAGATGCTTAACACATCCATCTTCATTAAAAGAAAACAAAACAAAATGATCTTACCAGGACTGCTGCTGCGCTCTCTTATTGCCTTCTTTGATTTTGAAATTAGCTGATGAACAATAAAATGCAGCAATATTTGTTGCTTTCTGTGACATGCACTCCATTAAATCTGCATATAGCGCGGGAATTGAAGATCGGATTTATATCCGTTTTCCAAAAACACATTTTTGTGACCAGGTGTAAATGGAATCGTTTTGATAAATCAGATAGCTATGCTAAATAAAAAAACAATGCCTTGTAAATTTTTGTTTTGCTTTTTCCTCCATTGTACCGAACCGTGATTTTTGTATACTGTTCCAACCCTGGAATGTACACAACAGAGAAGTTTTACCAGTTCAAACTTACATACAATGACTGCTGAGTCTATATATACACGTTTTAATCATGATTGCTGTGTGCTCTCCACCCGTGTTAATTATCTGAACGTGCTTCTCCCGAACTTTGTTAATAAAACATAATTTCAGATCAAATTCACTGCAAGCCCCCCAATAAAATTACCCTAGACTTAACAAACATACCAGTTCGGACATGAAGTTCGGGTTTGCCAGTTTTTCTTCCACGATTTCCACATCCCTAACTGTCTTTAGGGGGAAACCCTCTGGGATAGAAGAGACGGTGGTGCTAATGTTGCCACGCTGTTGTAGCAGCGTTTGTAGTATCCTCCCCTGGATTTTTTGTGTCTCTTTCATCTCCTCAAGCAGTGTTAAGATGCGAACAAACATGTTGTCCCTGATTTGTCTTTGAGGGGTTTCTGGTGACATGGTAATGGGTTGAAACACTGGCCATCTAAGGGTACCCGGAGGTGGTGGAGGTGTCGGCCTAGCAGATGGAGGCAGTGGAAGTGAAGATCGGGGTGTCGATGGAGGCAGTGGAGGTGAAGATCTGGTTGGAGGCAGTGGAGGTGAAGATCTGGTTGGAGGCAGTGGAGGTGAAGATCTGGTTGGAGGCAGTGGAGGTGAAGATCTGGTTGGAGGCAGTGGAGGTGAAGATCTGGTTGGAGGCAGTGGAGGTGAAGATCCGAGTGTGGATGGAGGCAGTGGAGGTGTCAGCACAGATCTACACCGTACAAAAATTCACACTGTAAAAATCTTGTGCAATAACAAAAACAAATAGTAGTACTAATTTCCCCTAGCTTTTTCTTTTTCATTCAACTTTTATGAATAACATTACGAACTGAAAAATATGTTGTCTGTAATACAAAAAAAAAAAGTTTAGTTGAGTCAACTTATTTGTTTTCTGGAGATGTGCCAGTATTCTGTAACAAATCTATTGTAGTTGAGCCAATTCAACGTTTTGTGTCTGCTGGAAACAATTATAATAAGAATAAACAGGTCCAGATCTTCTAATCACTTCTGTCCAGGAATAAGATTAGTGATTTATTCTAGTTGTTCATGATCATCTTGGTTTCTTTCTTTCTAAGCAAAAAAATATGTGTTTTGTTAAACACTGTTCAAAGACCACAAACTTACACAACAAAGCCAAGAATCTAACCATCCAACCTGAGGAAACTCATCACTAAAATGGTAAAACATTTAACAGTGTGGAGGTGATTACCTGAGGGTGGATGGAGGTGTAGGCCTGATTTGGCTGCCGGACCAATTGTCATCATCCTCATCCTCACTAGACAAAATCACTCGCCTAGAAATGTATAATATACAAGCCCAATCAATGAGCTAAAGCATTTTTTTTTTGGTTAATTGTGTATCTGCTGTCCACCTACCATGTTTAGACAGCTTTGAGCCAAGTACACTTAACAAAACTTTACCTTCCTGTGTCATTGGGAAAATAAAATGTTCATCATCCATTTAGAAGCAGTAGTTCAAAATCAATAGCCTCACCTCTTTTTGCGCTTCCCCCTTCCAGTCTTCACTGTAGAATCAGACTCGGTTGGTACATCAGTGTTTTGCTCATACTCCACTAATTTTCTGCGGGCAATTTCATACGTAGCTTTGGAGACAGACAAATGAGTGGCAATTAGTTTAATTCAGAGCTAATTTCAACCGAACCAACAGTGAACTCAACATGTCAAATAATCTCATACAAATAGACACATTACCAACTTTTCTCTTGACAGTCAACTTGTATGTCGCCCAGTCAGTGTGAGGGTCCTGTTGCTCCATGACCGCCTTTGCCATGTTCATCCTTGTTGGTGGCCAGTAGCATTCATCCTCCTCAGGCCCGACAAACCATTTGGTTGGTATAACTGCCAATCCCCCACCATTTATAAATTCAACTATCCCGAAAGGTAACATGCTTAAAGAAAAACAAATACATACAAAAAAATTTAAACAAATGAAACAAATAATTAGCACTTTAGTGCAGGAGTGGAAGTGCCACGTATCCAGTCTTGTGTGGTAATAACACCATTTTTGTTTTTAACTCCTCCACAGGTAACAGCTGCAAGTCTTCAGATAAATTACAAACAAAAAGAATTCCAAGACGCGATGAGTCCATTGGATAGGTGAAAAAGGATTTGGCAGTTTCAAAGAAATTACACAGGACTTTAACAGTTCCAGAATGTGACAAAATGTTCCGCACAATAAGAATCCTTCTCCCTACAGAAAAACAGTCATCGCCACGAGAGGAGGAGATCAGTGTCTGTCCATCATTGTAACGCCTGTATTGTTCCCATGTTGCAACTGAATTAATCATTGGTCCAGAAAAGTGGAGCTGTTTGAGTGGGCTGAAAACTGATGTGGTCTTTTGGCTTGCCACTTTCTGCTTCTCATGGATTCGCCTGACGAGTTGTTGGACAGGGTTTTGAGGCCGACGGACAAGTTTTTTCAGTTTACCTAAAAATGTCTCAAAGGGAAAAGCTGAAACACTATCCAACGGGCCGAATTTACGTGCATCTTGAGCTAGGTGGATCAAGGAATGTATGTTATAGCTGACAAATTCATTGCCATAAATTGCAGCAAAGTCTGTTACAAAGAGTTTCAAAATCTCCTCAGCATAGTCACAATTGTCAGAAGAAGAACATAAGGCAGGACTCAGGAGAATTCTCATAGATACCGATAGAAGTAAAAAGTTTCTGTACATTATAGTGGGTATATTATTGAGGAGAACAACAGGACCAGTGTAAAGTAAAAATTGACGCAGCTCTGTAGCTTTCCATGTGCTGAATTCGAACAAGGATCGTGGTTTCCTTGCAAAATTGCTAGGTAAATATTGCCTGATAGAAACCATAAATGCTGACATTACAACAAAAAACTTCATAGATTGCCTGCATTTTAGTGGCCCCTTTAGCCAAAGAAATATTAACTTGCGCATTGCCCCCAAACACACAAGGTGCATATAATCTAACACAAAACTGGTCACTAGACCTATACCCAACTCATTTAGTGGGGAGGTTGACAGTTGGTGGTGCTGATAGCCTTGCCTCCCAAATTGCTCATCTGTCCTAAGCTCTGCTGATGTTACAGGATAGGCCACCTTCCCATTAATGTACTGGCCTTTTTGAGTGCACCTCTCACACCCATAATAGCCTGTATGGCCTTTGGAACATTTAAGAAAAGCACGAGCAGGTGCATCACAAATAAAAGCATCGGGTAATGGTACCCTGAAATGTACACCATTGTACACAATTCCACTCTGAGAAACAGCTTTCATATCTACAATGAATTCTTGTAAATACTCTTGCACATTTGCGGGTTTAGATGCACCCGAATACACTCCAATTACGAAGACACTACACTCGGGAATTTCCTTAATCATACCCAGAATCGGCCACAGACTCATACTGGAGCTACGGAATAAGGGCAATCCATCGATATTAATTCGGAGTGTGAGAGTATCAGTCACATTTGCTAAATGTCCTAAAGATGTTAGTTCAGCTTTGAGAGAATTTTCGACTCCAAAGTGGTAGTAGGACCCCCCAGACATATTTGCAACACTGCAAGATCTGTCAGTTGACATAAGAGTTCTGCCATCCATTGGGATATCAAGGCCCTTCCTCCGTAGGATTTTAAGAAGTGCAGACAGCGCTGTTTGTGGAATGTTAAATTCTGCAGCCCACTCTGCAAGCCCAAGCGAATCATTATTATTGTCTTCTTCTATGTCAGAACATTCATCTCCATGCAAATCACTGTCACTATCACAACCAGGCATATCACCTGGCATCCAGTTTTCAGAATCCAAATCATCGAATGAGGAAAGGTTAAAATCATAAAAAGAATCTGAGAAAAAATCTTCCTCTAAATCGCTTGACTCAAAACAGTTCTGATCACAAGCATCGTAGAAAGTGTCTGTAGAATCTTCACTTTCAGTATGCTCTAACAAATCATCCAGTGGGCATTCAGATTCATGTGCCACCAAATCATCAATCATAGACTCATTTTCAAGGAGACGTAAATGTTCCTCCACTTTTGCTGATATTTTCCTCCTTTTAGTTCTCTCTGAATACTCCATTATTTCTCTAAAAAAAGGAGAAAAAAAAGAAATAAAAAGCATTTTAGTTTTTAGTTATGAATACAGGGGTTCGGAAATGACAAACTATAGAGTGCAATTGCAAATCATATAGTTTGTTAAAGCTGGTATTAATGTGGCTGATTTCACCAACAGTTCTTCTAGTAGCAGTACAGTACAGTGGGCTACACCAGAGCCATGGAGAAAGAGAGTTACAACACTCCCATAGACCGACACAGGAACTTAGGAATGAGGAAGTAACGCGTGTCGTGGAGCCGCCAATAGTTCCGATTCTGGATCGATTCTGAGAATTTCAGAATCGATTCTGAGCCTAGTTTTTAACCAGATGTGCGATGATGCTGAGTTTGCTTTAGAAACACCCCGTATTCTGCTTGCTTCCAATTCCTCACATAGGCTACTGTAGGCCTACATACACCACTCGAACCTTACGTAAAATAATCTTTCATAAAGTTTGGAAAGATTGAAGCGAATTACGAGGACATTCACAGACTTCATTGCACGCGCTTTGAGAGACGCGCACTTTGTTTGATGTTACACTTGAAGTGTGCTGTCTCGCCCGTCGGTATTTTCCTTACGAATGCTCTACGGAGTCATCATTTATGTGGTTTGGAATGCAGTGGACTTATATATTTAAAATATCAACCTCACTAACGGAAGACTGCTTTCAATTTCAAATCCTCACGCACGCTTTGTTTGTGTAGATTGCTCGCGCATGTAGCTGTGTGTCTCCGTGGTTTAATGTACTTGTGCAAAATTAACGGAAACACAGCCAGACAGGACAAACCCCATTACTTCTTATATTTCAAAAGAGATGCATGCGTGCAGCTTAATAGATCTCCCGCAGTCTATGTTGTCAAAGTAAAAAAATAACAGGCTAAAGATGAAGAAAATTCCCTCACAGTTCTTGAATAGAAAACGTTCAGATAATCTATAGGCTCGTGAAAGCACTTTTTGTTTGTTGCTTGTTATAGTTTCTATGCTCCTCTTTATTATTTGCTACTTGCTTGTATGTTTTGAAGTTAAATTAGTTTAAATTCTTAACATACAACTGTTCTAATTATTTTGTATAAAATGTGTAATTATAAAAAAAGTAGGCCTACTTAATTATATAAACTAATGAATTAATGGGGTGGTATATAAAGAATCGTTCTGGAATCTGACCGTGACTTCCAGAATTGGAATCGGATCGTGAGGTGACCAAAGATTCCCACCCCTAGAAATTACTGTATTTTTTTTTTTTTTTTACTCTTACATATTAGCCGACCTTTCGTGAATCTAGTCTGTAGTTAAATGTTATGTCGCTAGGTTTACTAAATGTTTATTGGAAGATAATAGTTTAATTGCAGCGATAGCTTAGGTGACCAACACTTCACTAACGTTACCTGATGTAAATAATATATAATATTATTTAATATTTTATATATGCGTGTCTGTATATTTTTATACATATATAGAATACACACACATATATTTATATATGAAGCATTTAGATGCAAAAGCCTAAGTGCCATTTGAAATATTCTTCAAGAATGATCATTTTAAACAAGCTTGTATATTTAAGTTTTGTTGATAGTTTTCAGGGAGCTGTGAAAAGATCCATTCATTTAAGTGGCATGACACTTGATAACTGCTCACATTCAGCGCCGTTAATATATCGAAAAACAATACACACATTGAAATGATGTCTGATTGTAGGCTATGAGTGAAATCTAATAGTGGCTTTTATTAAAAAATTCATATATATGGAATTATATTTTCATAAGGGGACCCCAGACAGTTAAATATAATCATGATTAAAAAAAAAATGTAACATCACTCACTTATTTCATGCAATCTCCTGGATTAATTAGTGATTAAAAAAAGCATGATGTTACACAATATTTTACTGTCTGGGGTCCCCTAATGAAAAGAAAATATAATTCCCTATAGGGCCTATGTGAATTATCATAAATGGTTTAACAGTATATTTGAAAACATACAGAATTATATGGTGTTAATACAATATATTTCATATTACACAAGCAATTTTCATATATTTAAAAATCTGAGACAATATATTTAGGTATGTAATTTTATATTCAGTATTTACACTTCATATACAGGGATTCAAGTCATCCGTCGCTATGGGAGTACGACGGATTTCCCTCAATTTCAGGGTCCCCCTGTCCTTATGTCTTAAATGACCCTTTTCATTATTTTAAGGCCGTAAATATGCTTACATTTTTCAAATAGTGTAATAAATGTCTCAATTTCAGTTTGAATGGGTCGGGATGTTCATCCTGCTAAGCGAGATGTAATCAAAGCCTGGACTGGAGCTAAAGCACGTTCCTCTCTCCACTCTTACAGTTCTGTTGTCACTCCGCTCCCGATCTACTCCTGGTTTTCAATTCCCACTCACGATAAAAACTGCTTCGTGTTCACACAACTTTAAAAGTTATTCTAATATGTTTATTATTTTAGATCACGAACGTCAGAATTTAAAAGAATATATGTGACGGATTTGAAAGTATTCTACACGTTTAATAAATGTTCCAGCCCTTGCTTCCACATACGAGTAAACAACAGGCCTGGCAAAGCGCACCCATGGTAAAAGGAAATAAAGTTACAGAAAACATCTTCTACAAACAATTTTAATTTGCCAATACTTATTAATAATAAATAAAAGTGCCTAACGTGAAAATCGGATAATAATCAAGTGCAATATAAACATGTTTTGTCAAAGCATTGGTCCCGAACCGGGCATCAACACTACACTAACTGTTACCTGCATCTGCCGTGATTTGACTTCGCCCCAGTTGTTCCATGAAAGCCCTCAAAACACGAAAAGCTGTGAAGTTATAAATATGGTTCTTCCTTGGTTTGAAACATTAAAAGGTATGCAACAGGACGGACCAGTTTTGACCTCGGCATTTGTCCTCCGACTGCAACTGCTAAGTTAGCTGGTAGCGCTTTCACCGGAAAAGAGTTTACCCTACTTCCAGTCTCGACGGCCATTTTTGTGAAATAGGCCTATTGATTTCTTTTAATATGCGCGAGGGAAAGACTGCAAGACAGCGCTCCTTGAAGACGGCCAGAGTGTGGGCGCACGGCCGGGCGAGGCTCTCACTCTCTGCTCGCCTCGGTAGTGTTGTTTGAATACGGTGTGGTAGCGCGCGCTCGAGGCCGGCCGGCTCTATCTCTCTCGGCTCGTTCTTAATTTATATGCGCCCAGGAGTCATTCACCGATCAAATGAGGCTTTATAATAGATACATGAAAATATGGAACTTTGGAAAACACCGACGATTAATCCAAAATAAACAATTCACACAGACAGCTGCCTTGATGTAACAGACAAATAAACATATATAAATGAGTCCCTTATTATTACAATGGAAACCCCTTCTAAGTCACAATTTGTTCCAAAGGTGAATTCGTAATGCAGCAGTTATAAACTGTTCTCTGACTGCTCGCGCGCGGCCATGGGATTCAAATCCGGGCGGGAATAGCTGCTAACCCCCACCGATAAAACATTGCTGATATTCATATGGACTTCCATCAGTGTTTTTTCTTTAACTGTAAATTCAATAAATGCAAACATTAAAATGCTACCAGCTGGTAAAAGTGGAGAAATTGTTTAACAGCTTGCTATGCCTTGCCAACAGCTCCACAACCAAATCCCTCTTATATTAAAGCCAGCCACTCAAAATAAGCTCAACATGCATAATCTTGGCTTAACTTAATAAATTAAACTCGCATGTTCAACGCTACGCTTTAACCAGGTTTAATTGCCAAAGCTACGACTAACGTAGGTTAAGTTAACTGGTTTACCTTTGCTAAAAGCTAAGTTACTTGCCTCTTAGTCTTAACTATAACGTTACTTTCCAAAAAAAAGCTTGGTTAACATGTCATACAGTAAATTCATCCCGTTTTTATGTACTAAAGCAGATTCTTACCTGTCTTTGTCCACACACAACACCGTTATGGGTCCTTCCTCAACGGACAGCAGACTATAAGGCGCCAAATTCAAATTGTTGCTGGGCAAAATTTCGCTCGGTGATGGGGGTGGGGCTTTCCGTATGCACTGCTTACGGTTTTAAAACATTTTGTGGGGAAACCTGTGTCAAACTTGTCTGTTCAAATTTATATAGTGCTTAAAACCATTATTAAATTGACATGGCTTCAAAAATATAAATAGCTCAATAGTTTTATAAATAAATTTATTTTATAAATTGCTCAAATGCAATTTGTATACAATTTGGACCTAGTGGCTGTAAATAAAATATCCATGTCTGACATAATCATGCAATTTTGAATTTGGTGTGGAGTCCAGCCCATTTACTGCCCATGTGGGGCCCAACAACAAAGCCCACTCTCAGCCCATGCCCAGCCGAAGCCCAACCAGCCCAAGTGAGGCCCATGTGGGCCCCAATTAGACGTGTTTGCAGGGCCATTACCAGAGCGAAGGTGAGTTCCAGAGGAAGAGGAGTACACCCCATATAATACGACCTGTCAATCATGCGCACAGCATCAGAGGAGTAAAAAAAATGCATTTAAATTTGACTATAATGTCATATTGTGTGGGAACTGCTTTAATAACGCAGCGGTTTTAGGCCGAAGTGTCTGTCGGTACAGATTTTGAATAAATATTCGGATAGAAGGAATACGTTTCATCTCCAGGTGAATGAACTGAAACAAATGAATGATTTTGAAACTGATCAAATGTAACAATATCTTGAATCAAAGCATGTGTGTCCATCTGTCTTAACAGCTTCATCTCTGACAGCCTGTCAATGGCCTGCTGGCGTGGATATTACTGGGATGAAAAACAACTCTATCACACTCCGGCAGAGTCTGTTTCAAGAACTAACTGACGCTCAAACGCAGCAGCCGACGGTACTTATGACTGTACTGTGAGGGTCATGTGGGGTTTTGGTAGTGAGGGGTTTTTCCAGCGCCTGTCAAAGTGCCAATTTGATTTAGTGCCCTGAATTGACGGGGGCAACACATCAAACACTGATATAGAGAGATGAACCAAGAAGGAACTTAAAGGAAGACGGAAAGAACAAAACCAGGAGGGGAAGGGAGTGAGTGTGCTGTTAAAATGCCAGCGATGTCATCCAGCACAGCATTACGAGCCAGCAGCAAACCGTATCGCCTCATGGACAAAAAGAGTAACAACAGTGGTGGAATGTGGGAAGATATCATGAGATCAAGTAGAGAGGATAATCTAACAATATAATGTCGAAAACTGCATAAAACAAAAAGTGTTAAAAATGCCCTCGGTGCGATTTGAGACCGTTCTAAAGGTGAATGATAGCCATGATAAACCAGCTCAGAGGCAACTTTTCAGTTTTTATTAGTGGGTTTTACTGCATGAAATGTAATTTTTATTTGATATAGTGTCTGGGTTGGAAAGAGAGAGAAAAGGGAGAAAAAGAGAAATGTCTGGTATAAAGGAACAAACTGTTTTCCCCAATGTCTTATCTCAGCACCTTTTTTAAACACATTTTTTTTACAGAATCTCTGAACATCAAGTCCTGTCCAGTACAACTGGACTTCATAAAACACTGAAAAAAGTCCTCTTGCCTTCTGAAATCAGCATTATTTATAGAAATACTGTTAAGAGTTGGTTAGAAACAGTCTTTATCACACTTTCAAGGCATCTCAATTAGTTAGTTAACAACGTTTCAATGTAAACAAATATAACAGACATCATTAAATGACTATGTAAAATGCTGAAACAGGGTTTAGTGTCCTTGTGTGTTGGCATTTAGTTAGGTATTGAAATGGTTTGGGTGGCTTTTATGTCGATGCTAGTCGGGCCAGAAGGCTTGTCTTTGCTCAAAAGAGAAACTGGACAAAGAGAAAAAATCCTTAACCCATGGCCTGACTAGTAGAGGAAGTGATTTATGTGTTAGGATTCAGGCAGTAGAGTATATCACATAATGCTGGTGTAAAAGAGAATTTATAGTATACATTGATAAAGTCACTAAAATAAGAAATGAGTAGGCTTGACAATGTTTCCTCCAGGCATACAGGGGGCAGTAGTAGGAATTACCACAATAATAGACTTCTGTATGAAAACTAGTTCCTCTGAATAGATGTACACTGGAAAAAAAATAACAAACAAAACAACAACAACAACAACAAAAATTCTGATTTCAAAAAATAAGTACTGATTTTGCAGACATAACTAAAAAAACAAAACAAACAAACCAAAAACATCAGAATAAAGTTCTGCTTAGAGATTTAATTTACTTGGTAAATATCTTAAATAAAACTTTCCTTATTTTTCTTCTTCAAGATTTTATGTCTTCAATGATTAAAACCCTGATTCCTAGACAAATTACTCTGTTCTCCTATTAGTAAATAAAAGTTATTTTAGTCTCAAGGCTTCTGGGACTTAATCAGTGTATTTCCTGATTTAAAGTTCATGTGACTTTTTTTTTAGTTGGTCGTTTAGTTGGTAAAGATTAATTAATGTTAAAAAAATATGAAAATACTAAATGTTTTGACATGTTTAGTCTTTTTATTTGGTACATAGTAATGAGTAACTATTGGACTGCATTTATGCCACCATTAAAAAGTCTGTGAAATATCATTAAAGTCCATTTAACATCAGACTGATGATGACAGTAAATGCAATAAAAATCGCATTTCTTTTTTCCCCCAAATATATTTTCCTCAGAAGTACTAAAATAATCATCAATGCAATTGTTCAGGGGAATCAGAACCATAAGTGTTCAATTCAATTACAGTTCCCATTGCTAGTCACCATTGAGGGTTACCATGGCCAAACGACTATTCTCATTCACTCAATCTACAAAAAAATCCACACTGTGGAAAGCAACAAAATGTGACGAACAAAACCATGAAAACCCATAACAGAATGATTAAGGTGCCATTTTTGGTTTTTAGCCATTTGATGGCAAGAACAGGAAGCTCAGGTCACTCAGGCTTGTAACATACGGTCTCTTCTTACATCACCTGATGATGTCATGTCTCTTCCAGTAAAATAACTCAGGTGGACCTGAAGCCTCAAGCTGGCACGGTGATAATGTCAGAGATGGTTCTTAGACATCACCCGAAATGTGATAATGAGAGTCGAGACGAGATTGTAACCAAGCAACTGGTGTGTGTAACACTCAAGAGGATGTGGAGAGAGATTGGGACTGAATTAATTTAGACGCAAAGTTACATTGTCCGTCTTAGTCCTGCTGTTTTCAGCCTGAATCACAGTCACAAAGCTTTGAAACACATACAAATGCACAGCTGGAGTCCATCTGCGGGAGTTATCACAAGAAAACACTAACTGCTGTAATGTGAATGTGTGTGTTAAGTGTGTATAAGTTTTGCATTGTGTGTCTACAGTAAGTAGGCAGTTTATCATGGCATACACAGTACTTCAAAAGCTCGGGCAGAAAGCGAGAAGCCCTCAAATCATCATGAGTGACGGACATGAGTGTTTTTCTTCGACTACTTAACTTTGACCTCCAACCTCTTGGAAGAGTCTCCATCTGAAAAAGTCGATCATCCGTCAACACCTCCTCCACATGCGATTCCTGCTCCTCACATAAAAATGTTTAAAAAACCTCAAAAACAAACAACCAGCCACTGAGGAGTTGTTATAGGAAGCTGATGAAGTGGAGGGAATGAAAAACTGCTTCTTTGATGCACAATAAATAAATCAGATGGAGGTCTGAGTTCAGAAAAGACAAACATTTACAATCGGATAAAATGAGGAAAGGAAAATAAGAGCAGCGAATTCACTAAACTGCTGCGCTACTTTTGTGTGCGGGACACTCTGCATCTCATTCACTAATCACCCACAATCCAGTTTAATAAGCTGAAATCTGCGCTGGAATAGTAGGCCTATTTAAAATATTTCGAAAAGTTTTTGAATTATGACTTTTTTCCCTTTTCAGCACTAACATGCTTCCTTTTTATGCAAATTAACCTTTTCGTACAATTCGCAAAAATAGATCCTGCCGACTACGCCAAAAATGATAGATTGTTTCCGGTCTCGCAGGAAAATTTGGGTCAAGTCTTCACCATATCCCGTCAGATGACATCTGTTTTGTGTGGTATCGAAAACTGTCCAAAAAAATTGTATTAGCATTATGCTAATATTTTAGCAGAGATTTAACGAAGAGATTTTTTCCTACATTTTCGAGTGATAATGGCAGCAGTAATTCATATATTAGCAGAGTAATGGGAACATATAGACGCACAATGGACTGTGAAACATTTTTGGCTTTTTAAAAATCTTAGTGATGCTGTACAGTCTCAGTAAACGCATTTTGCAGATTGTGCCTGGCTGCAATTCAGCCTTCAAGATGGGGAACTGTGGTGTGGAAATTGCGTTCCGATCTGTTTGCTTTAATGAATGAGGCGCTGAAACAATGCAGAGAGCATGTGCAAATAACCTCCAGAGTGTAAAAATGTATTAAGTATTTATATTATTAACAGTTTTTTTTTCTCTAAAAGTATGAATCACTTAAAAGTCTCACTCTCTACAGTTTGGTTTTTAGGATAAGCACAATAATTCAGTTACGACCATCGGATGTATAAAGTCGTCTCAAACAGGCATTCACTTGCACCTGAGCACATGTGAAATCCGTGACCCGCCTGCATCATGACGCACACAGAGACACACACGTGTAAATAAACGCAAAAACACGCTGCTATAACATAAAAGCTGTATTTACAGCTTTTCTATATGGTACGATCAACTCAACTTCAGGTCCAAGTTCTTGTAACGCTCTTACATATAGAGTCACGTGAACACAGCGAAGTACGATACGAACCCCAGGATGGGTTGTCTTTGTGCTCGCTGATCTCATACTTTATAGTAAATATTGGCTGGACTCTGAGGGGGCATCTCTTGAACGATGTAGACGGGGTGTCCGTAATCGCCGCTGACTTTTTCGTAATGGGGGCAGTATGCAGAGTCAGAGGTCCGCAGGGGAATGATGATATCACTGGGCTCTGAGCCGTTATTGTTGCCCCCACCGGCCCCAGTAGCTGCCCCGCAGGAGCTGCCCCTCTTTGGGGTAAGAGAGGACAGTGTGAGGGCAGGGTGGTGAGTTTCAGAGTGCTTGGCTTTCCGGCGGCGGTAACACACCACAGCGATCACTACAGCGATCAGGACGACGAAAGCTCCCCCCGCACTACCGGCGATTAGAGCGATGTTAGAAGCCGATACGGCGTCGCTGTCTCCCCTCTCTCCGGCCTCACCTCCATCATTCCCTTTAGATCCACTTTCTGTATCTGAAGAAAAGAGCAGATAAATCAATGCTTGCATGGACCAGATATCCACATTTGAAGTTCCCTTCCTATTTGGCTTTATCTTCTACGAATAACATCCTGATAGTATTTAGATTAGATTTGATTTAATCCATCACTAGCTTTGATTTCAGCCGGCTTGAATTAAAAAATTGCCTCATGTTTGGCTTCAACACTGCTAGTTTCTCAAATGTTTACCTTATGGAGATCAACCAGTTCAGTCTAAGCCTCCAAGAAATTAAAAATAGCAATTCAAAGAACACTAGACATTGCGCTAACATGACAACAGATGCATATGCAGATGGTAGCAAGGTTAATACATAAATGTAGTTGAAAGCAGACCTCATTGGGATTTTCACCATTAAAATTGTTCACTTAACAAACTCTGGGTTCCACGTTTCACACTGTACACTTTTGAACCCGGGTTTACAATCTATTTCAGGGTTATTTTAGTATTATTTACTATTATAGTATTTATTAATATTTAAAAAGAGCTTTTATGTTTACATTTGAATCTTAGTTTCAGTGCTTTTTCTATTTAGCTTTAATTAACATTCATTTAAGTTTTAGTAATAGTAGAACTTCAACTTAAACTTATTATATTTCAGTTACTTCTCAAGGCAAGATTTCTCATTTGTTCATTTTTTCATCTAATATTTATTTTCCATGTTATTTTACCTTTATTTCATTTAAAAAACACGATTTTCAAAGGTTTTAGGGAACACCAACAACACTGTTAATATTTACATGTTTATGATATTTAAACATCAATTGAAACGTCACCACATAAACCCAGTATATTTTGTCAAAAGTCTTCTAAGGTACTACAAAAATAAAGAAAAAAATGAGAAGGATAACACAGATGAAACACTAAACTAAACTAATTTCTGAAGGAATTTCTGAATATTAAATGAGGGCATGTTGCTTATGACATTGGGAGCTGTTGTGCTCACGGGGACCCAGGTTAAAGCCTGACCTGGGTCATGTCCTGAACCCTTTTCCCTCTTCTCTCTCCCTCCACTTTCCTGTCAAATGTCCTATATAGTAGAAGAATAGTGAGGGAGAGAAAAGTACTGCTTCCGGAGCTTTACTAGAAATAAAATGTTGCTTGATTCAAGATTAAAAGTGGCATTAATTCTGGGTTACACTTTTTCAAAATCCAGGGTTAAGCTAATAAATGAATCTGAAAAGCCCTCAGAAATATTCTTTTGGAAGCTGGTTGTTACCTGGGGTTCTGCTGTTGGGTCTGCCTGGGTCAGGTTTGGGTTTTGGGGGAAGGCCATATGCAGCTATGAAAGCAAAAAAAAAAAAAAAAAAGCAAAAAAAAAAAAAAGATGTGAAACACTAAGTACATTTTGATGCATGGTTCAATTACTTCAATAATGTGAGCAAGTGTGTGCTGGTATTGACACAACATTTATTGAATTTGTCTGCAACTCTCCCTCAGTGCATACTGTAGGTTGATTCATTGATGTGCTTTTGGAGGTGATGACGATACTCACTCTGTCCCACTTTGAGAATCAGCTTCATCCCTCGTGTCACGCAGACGCCTCCTCTCATGCTGTCGATTCCTTCTTTTGTACCGTCAGAGGTAGCTATGGGAAGAGGTCGAAAAAAAAAAACAGAACAATATTAATGTCAAGGATTTTTCTATCATCATTTCAAATGGTGAGCAATGGCAGCTGACTGGAATCCTGTGACTTAGCAATAAAACATTGCTTTATTATGACTCTCCATTAATTAACAGCAATGTGCAGCGACTCAATCATGTAAAAGCGTAACAGGCACTTTCTACGAATGCAGTACACTTTGGCATCCAATTACTTTTTTAATTAATCATCAGAGGCACAAATCATGTTTTTTTTGTTGATAACTATGAGATATGTTTGATAAGCTAACATAACAAATCCTAGCATGAAAAGTAGCAGTTTTAAGCAAATCACATGTCTGTATCCCCCTTTAGAAGTGTGATTTTGGCTGGTTTTAAATATCAAACAATTAAGTTTTGATATAATCTGTGGAATTGACTTGATTCACTGTAGTTGTTATTTGTACAGCGCTTTAAACAATACACATAGTTTTAAAGCAGCTTTTCAGACTGGATTACTACTGTATATTGTGATATGTATCATTCATGTTTTTCGAATTAAGATTTTGGTAAAATAATCCACCATTCTGCTAGAAAGTTAACTTAATTCTTAGTAAAAAGTCATTTAAATTATATATATATATATATATATATATATATATATATATATATTAGCTAGGTTCCACATTTTGTACACAATCCTGATAACATGGTTTATGAAGGAACCAGCATGAAAGGAAATAAAATATCTTATTTCATTTCTCAAGAGTGCATTCATCAAGCTCAACTTCTAAACAACTATTGTCATGTTTATTTCAAATCTCACAAAACAGTAAAGTCCCTTTTTGTATGTGTACGAGGTTGCAAAATTCAGAAATCTCATAAAACAAACCAAAAAAATAAACAGCTTGTGTAATATTTGGTCAAGATCAACATCTTCTGAAGGTTCAGCATGGCTTCCACAATCCATTTGATGAAATTAAGCTGTTTATTTTCAAATTAATTTAAGATAACGTAATTTTAATGAAGTTCAAAATCAATAGTCAATATATCAAGTCATGCAGAATATATGAAACTTACATTTTCATTCAACTATAATACTTGCTGTCGAGTAATTCATATTTGTAATAATACATTAATCAACAACATAAATTAAAAATATAAATTTTATTTCCATGTCCCTGAACATTGTTTTGAGTTTGCCGTTGTGACCGAGGTGGTCGTGTCGTGTGTGTTCCTGTATGCCAGCGTGCTTGGTGGGTTTCTTAGTAGCTTCTTGCCTATTTAGTACTTGCTTGTGTCTGGGCAGCTTTGTATATGGGAAACTGTCTCTCATGAATAACAGAGACTCGACCGCAACTATGTTGCCTTTTTCAACCATGTATACAATCATTCCTCAACACACACACACATACACACAGTCTCTGAAACACACAGTCATTCGCATCTTCCAGCATTCACATTATTAAATATTTCATAGGTGAAGTGTCTCTGTAAAAACTTGGTACTTTATCCATGTAAGTCTGAGTAACTCAGCATCCATCCAAGCATTGAATACTGCATTCAAACAATGTTCAAGCTCCCTCCCCACAGTACAAAGAGCCTCATCTTCAAACTTATTTTCCTTTCCAAATATAAAGCCTGCTCATGAGGGCGATATTGAATTCTTCATAGCAGAAACACTTTGCATCTGAACCATTCAATATTTTATTGAACCTCCGAACAACACAGTAGCTAATCTGCAGCGCTCAGAAAGCAAGGCGCTGATGTACAAAGACTCTTCCCATCCAAAATATCTCTTCATCATTACGTTATTAGGAAAACATTTACAGCAGACGGCTGAGGAGCACAAGCAGACGAGGGGTGCCAGTAAACATTTGATGGCTTGAGGGTAACAGTTTTATTTTAGGTGAAGCTTGATACAAAGGAACTGAAGCCGAGTTGGGCTCCGTTTTTTGCGCCGGTTGATTTACGGAGTTTATTTTTTAAAGCACTTGCGTGCAATGACGTTTTTCATCAGATTTGTGAGAAATGGTCTGGATTCAATGCAAATTAAACAGCATCTGTGACATGCTGTCAATCACTCCAGAAATTCATTCAGACAATTCAACAATGCACAAAGGAAGTCTAAGGCATTCAACAGGGTTTCTTAGAAGAAATGCGAAGCTGTTATTTGTTAAAACTTTTATATTAATTCTTCTGTACAAAAAAAATAAATTGTCTAAATTACCATATTAAGTGGAAGGACTAGTGTTCAAGGCAGATTAACCTCTGGTTATGTTTCACTGGCATACACCATTCAAAAGAGGGTCAGTAAGTACAAAAAAAAAGATGCTGGGCAAGCTCATTTATTTGAAAATACAGTAAAACAGTAATATAGCGAAATGCTATAATTAAAATAAGTGTTTTCTATTTTTTTTTAAATGTAATTTATTCCTGTGATCAAAGATGAATTTTCAGCATTATTACTCCAGTATTCAGTGTCACGTGATCCTTCAGAAATCATTTCAATTCATTTCTTTAGCATTTCAATCAATCAATAAACAATTCTCATTATTATCTATGCTGAAAACAGTTGCTTAATATTTTTTTTTTTCTGGATTCTTAGAAATAGAAATCTTTTGTAACATTATAAATGTTTTTACTGTCACTTCATTCAATTCAATTAATCATTTGAACAGTACTTCTTGTCTATGTACACTGCCTTTATGGTATCATTGTGTATACAAGTATACAAAAGAGGAACATTTTTATATAACTTTGAACAGACCCTTAATATCATAAAGAAAACATAAATAAAATAAAAATAAATGATCACAAGTCTGCATTTTAATTTTATAAAAATGTAATCCACTTTGGTAGACCTCTATTATACTGTAAGTGCACTACTTACACACAAATGTATGTCAAAATCAAGAACAACAAAAACCCTTGGATTTCATCCAAAGAGCCTCTTACTATAAAGCCAAATATTACAATCACCCCAAACTGACTCAAATCAAGAATAATCTTTAGAGAATAGACACAGCCTATAAAAGATCCACCCCCTCACATGTAAACACACACAAAAATGCATACAAATACACACTCATGGATTGAATCCAAAAACATGACCTTTTTTGTGCTCACGGCAGTCATTAGTCAACATGCTGGAGGTGTAGAAAAAAAAATGATTCATCACCTAATGGCTCTCATTTTGTTTTTTACCTCCCTCGCTCTCTTTTTTCTCCCTGTGGGGATGCAGAGACAGTTCAGTAAAGGTGTAAATGCTGAACTTGATCAGTAAGTTAAAGAACCATGTCACGGTACCAAAATCATGTCAGTTGTCAATAGCAATACCAGTGAATTCTTGATGCTGATTTTGATACCACATAAAAAATTAATATCCTAATGGACCAAACCCTTTATTTAGAAAGTAAAACAATATAAAATATAAAAAATATAAAAAATATTAACAAATAAAATTAAAACAAAGGTATTTTAACAGTAAAAAAAGTGTTAATCTAGCCTAGCTAACGTCAGACGTGGTTTGGGAACCACATGTTAATTTTCTCGTATTTGAGGCGTGGTTTACGAATGCCCAGAGCTGTTTATTGGGTGCTACGAATGTCTATCAAATTGCTTCATTGTGTCACATAGACATCGTCAAAAATTTGGTCCATGGTATCCAGACTGCCTAGCATCGTGAATAAAATCGCTCTGTGAAAACCAGGCTAGTGTTAATCAATGATTCATTTTCTCAAGCATCAAGAAATGACTAAAATATATACACACTAATACAAAAATAAAATAAAACAAAAAAATGGCATATTGGCATAGTCAACACTGAATTCAGGCATTTGAACAAATCAAATGAATGAATGCAGAATTGCAATTCACCAATTGTAGCTGAAGAGTAGGTAAGCTTTGGGACATATACTTTGTCATAACTGCACTGCTCAGTCGCTTAGTTATGTGCATCCTGTCACCATTTAAAACAATCATTGAGTCACAGTTAAAATCCTTCACATTCAATTTAATTTAATTCCCTATTGTTTCAGAAAGAAATGTAGCAGCTTGTTTATCTGCTCGTTGGTCTTTCATGCAAAGAACTCTCCTCATGTGTTTGTGATTTGCATAATGATACACTTAAAAGTTAATGACTAAATCATTACAAAAGTTCAAAATGATGTTGCAGATGAAATATATGTGGATAACATTGAATACATCTTTTCGTCCTGTTAGATACCGATTATTATTAAAAACCCCTTACAAGTCAGCCCTAATTTTAGCAAGTGATGCATTCATGACATACCCAAAATAAAAAAAAGGTTTCTGCTCATAAGTCATTCTGAATAGACACATAACACACATATACACTCACCTAAAGGATTATTAGTAAAACCATACTAATACTGTGTTTGACCCCCTTTCGCCTTCAGAACTGCCTTAACTCTACGCGGCATTGATTCAACAAGGTGCTGAAAGCATTCTTTAGAAATGTTAGCCCATATTGATAGAATAGCATCTTGCAGTTGATGGAGATTTGTGGGATGCACATCCAGGGTACGAAGCTCCCGTTCGACCACATCATTTCGAATACTGTTTAGGACAGATATATAAAGAGTTCAGATGCAAAAGCCTCTAAATGCCATTTGAAATTTTCTTCTTGAATGACGATTTTGATCTTGTTTATTTATCTTGTTTTTAACTTGTATATTTAAGTTCAGTAATTTCACTTAAATAACAATTAATAGGTAATTATCATTGCCATTTAAGTGAAATCACTGAACTTAAATATACAAGCTTGATAAAAAATGATCATTCTAGAAGAAAATTTCAAATTTTGCATCTGAACTCTTCAAATGTTTTAGTTTCTTATTTAGAGTACTATTTTTCCATAAAGGAAATTATTTCATATTCCATATAAAATAAAATAAAAACATTTAAAGGATAATTCATCCAATTTATGTGTAATAAATTCTATATTGAATAATATTTCTTTGTTGGGGTGCAATTTCAATGTCA